CAACCTACTAGCGATGGCCTCCAACCTAATAGCAATGGCCTCCAACCAAATGCAATATCTTCCAACCTCCAACCTAAGAGCGATGGCCGCCAACCTACTAGCGATGGCCCCCAACCTATTAGCGATGGCCTCCAACCTAATAGCAATGGCCTCCAACCTAATAGCAATATCCTCCAACCTCCAACCTAAGAGCGCTGGCCTCCAACCTACTAACGATGGCCTCCAACCTACTAGTAATGGCCTCCAACCTAATAGCAATGGCCTCCAACCTGATACCAATATCTTCCAACCTCCAACCTAATAAGCGATGGCCTCCAACCTACTAGCGATGGCCTCCAACCTATTAGCGATGGCCTCCAACCTACTGGCGATGGCCTCCAACCTAATAGCAATATCCTCCAACCTCCAACCTACTAGCGATGGCCTCCAACCTACTAGCGATGGCCTCCAACCTACTAGCGATGGCCTCCAACCTAATACCGATGGCCTCCAACCTAAGAGCGATGGCCTCCAACCTTCTAGCGATGGCCTCCAACCTACTAGCGATGGCCTCCAACCTAATAGCAATCGCCTCCAGCCTACTTGCTTTGCCAACCGAGACACATTTTTTTAATTTGAAGATGTTCAATCATTGTTGACATTTCCGTGACGTCTCAGAAGGCGTTGATGTAATCTCTGTGATGTCTCAATTTCCGGAGGCAAACATCGAGAACTGGTACATCACTGACATCGAAAAGATTCTTCAGGACCCGATTTGGCCGATTTGCCTTGTTGATCAAGTTTTGGCCAGGCAGCGCACATACATACAAGCTAGTTCCAAAACAAATCTTGGGTGGTCTCCTGATAGAAGAACAAGGAGGCTGCAGCCAAAGAGACTAGCAATGAAGCTGTCTACAGGAAGCCTACCAGCTCAACCCGCATGGCCCAGCCATCCATGCTTTGCCGGGGGAAGCCTTCATTGCTGTTGGCCAAAACCCAAAGGCTCGATGGGTGGAGTGTCAATGAGAGTAGCAATGGTGTGGAATTTGCACTCTGGCATGCATACCCCCAAGCTTTCTTGATATCAGTTTGATGCCGGGTCTATAAAGTGAGAGAAGTTGTTCTCGACCGTCCAAGGCTGGCAGGAAAGAAGATCCACATTTGAGAGAAAAGTCCTTTTCCCTTGAAAAGACATGCTCCACATTTGTCCAAAATTGTTTTCGCGATGCCCTAGCAGCATCCTTGCTCCTAGTAGCGATTCCCTTTGCTCCTAGTAGCAAGAATGCTCCTAGTAGTAAGGGCAGGAGCCCCCTAGTAGCATCCGATCGCTCCTAGTGACCTTGGCCGATAAACATCAAGAAAACTCTTGATCATTGATCGTCCAACATTTGAGGACGGAGATCATCTAATTGAGCCTTTTTTCTTCAAGCCAAGAGACATCAGAGACAGATGAACAGGTTGGCAGCTCCATTCGCCAGACGCAGCACACACAACTGGCTGAAGGCAGGTTGGGATCATTCGAGTGTGCCTTCTTATCACTTCACCTCAACTCTTTTCAATGGCTGTTTGATTTTGTTTATTTGGTGTATATAATTGTAATCACAAAGCCTAGAGGCCTAGCTCACAAGCGGAAGTCCGATTCTTCAAAAGACCATTGGGTAGGTGTTTGAGACCTTTCCACTTCATTGGATGTTGTTCCTGTCTCCAAGCCGATCTTGTAGAGTGAGATACGTTGGCAGCTTTCTTTGTGCCAAAGAGTCTTTCAAAATAAAAAATCCTCAGGCCGCCCTCAGGCCAACCGTTCTCTCCGCAAGGCCACTGGAACAAGTACCCCATCTTGAAAGTGGCGGCTGCGCGCGTGTTTGCTGCCAAGGTCATCGGGCCTTAGACCTTGTTTGGGGAAGGTAGCCGGACAGGAGTTGGACATCGGAAGCATCGCAATCTGATCCATCGCCAGAAAGATGTGTTGTGCAGGTGGAACCAGTGCAGTGTCTTCTCACATGTTGCCTTCATATCAATATCAATCTGAGATTTCCTCAATAGGAGGCCATTCCTATTAGGTTTGTCTTCCTATTAGGGTCTTTAGGGTTTCACTTTTGCCAGCTGGGCTCCGTAGGCCTGTCCTATGCCGATTCCAGATGGAACGAAGGCGGCGCAGCGTAGTTTTGCGAATTGTCGAGCTCCGGAGAATTGGGGTCTTAGGGTGAACTATATATACTGGTTTGGCGGCATATACTGTACCATGCCTTGTGAAATGACACAGCAAAGTTATTTTTTGGCCATGTTCGGCCATACTTTTGATATTTGACCTGTGGAGTGGCACGTCACGTCGCTGACATCTTTGCGACAAAGTCGGGGCAAGGTCGAACGCCTCAATGATATCCTCGGGCCCCACACGATGCTGGAGATCGTGGACATAAACGCGGAGGCGCTTCACGCCTAAACCGAAATGAGAAGGATCCGCACTTTGCTCTCGTGCAGTGCGCATATTGCTGGCGGACAGAGGGGTGACCAGGACAGGTGCGCCACTCATTTACCACGCGGGGTCCATCTCACCGTGTTCAAGTTAATTCGGGGACTCAAATTCGCATCTCTACTTTCGTCTCAAAAAAGTCAGAACAATGACCCAGGGATTCTCCAGCTTCATCCGTTCAACACCCATGTCTGAGTGACGGAACCAGGGCAGTGACCCGGAGAACAGCGGTCTGATGCTGCGCTGCCGCTGCCCTGAGTTGGCGCCCGGCCTGGTGCGCTTCCTCACGTGCCGAAGCTGCACTAGTGAATACTTGAGGCACAGTGAGGCTGGAGCAAATCGCTAGTAGGTTGAAGGCCATCGCTATTGGTAACTCAAAAGAAGATGGTTTAAAAAGTAGCAGTTTTGCAGCTTCTTGCCATGGTCCACTGCCTGTGTTTTTTTGCCTGGACATGAGGACATTGTGCGTAAGCAAAAACCATCAGAAACCTGAATTTCAGCGTTGCTTGTCCTTGCGCTTACGTACAGTGCTTGCTTGTATTTTCACGCGCGTAAGCTGGTAAGCTTATGTTGTGGTGTGGTGCAGACAGTTTGTCCTTATTTATTTGCGTAAGCGTCGTTTAAGCACTTCATGACCCCTGGGCACGTCAGATGAAATGCGAGTGGGGTAAGCGAAGTGTAAAGTCTTGCATAACCAGCTCCTTCGCTCGAAAGAAAGGTTTTTCATTTTGCTTTCATCTCCTCACGTTCGTAGCAGTTTTGTAGTTGGGAACGAGGAATCTGGTGCGGAGTTTCTCACAGAATCCCGTATGAATAGCACTGTTATAAAAGTCACAGGAGTGTAAGCGCTTGACACTCGATTGGTACAGCAATATATAGCTTTCGTTTGAGCAGAGCATCAAGCTATAGTCGTTTGTCCAGAGAGGCTCTTTACGTGCACATGAACTGGGGAACACTGGGGACTGTGTGAACAGGCAGTTGCGTCTGCGGCTGCTGGAGTGTTTGGGAGGACCTGAGGCGATCGCACCTTGGCAGATCTTTCAGAGAGGACCTGAGCAGACGATGTCCGGTGGAGAGTGGGGTCACAAGATCTAGGAAAGGCTCACTTGAGTTATCTCTCTCAAGCCTGGATGCTTTTCCAGCGCGCTTCGGTGCTTTCCGTAGCCATTAGTAGAGGCCTCAAAGTTCCCAGCCGAAAGGTTGAGAAACAGATTGGACATTTCCAGCTGATGGAAACCCAAACCAAGCTGATTGATGGAAAAGCGATCGCAGCATTGGTACGAGCAGAGGTGAAGGACCTGACTGCAGACCTGGAGCGTACAACTGGTGTTACACCTGGATTGGCCATGATACTGGTTGGAGAGCGGCCGGATTCCCAATCTTATGTGCGAAATAAGAAAAAGGCTGCGACAGAAGCGGGCTTTCATGTCACAGATGTCGAGCTTCCTGAGAGCATCACTGAGCCGGAACTGCTGGCAGAAGTGGCAAAACTAAATGCCGATCCAAAGGTTCATGGCATACTGGTCCAGCTACCGTTGCCTGAACACATCAGCGAAGCAGCTGTCCTCAAAAGCATCAAAGTGGAGAAGGATGCCGATGGTTTTGCTGCAGAAAATATTGGAAATCTTTGTCTCAAAGGAGGTGATCCACCATTGGCAGTACCCTGCACTCCAGCCGGCTGTGTCGAACTGCTGCAGCGTAGTGGCGTGACAGTAGCAGGAAAGAGCGCCGTGGTGGTGGGAAGGTCAAACTTGGTGGGGATGCCAATGGCACAGCTGCTTTTGTCGTTGGATGCCACAGTCACTACCTGCCATTCTCAAACGCAGAATATCGAGCGACACCTCCGTGATGCTGATCTTGTTGTCGTAGCAGTTGGTCAAGCGGAATTCGTGCGTGGCGAATGGCTGAAGCCAGGGTGTGTTGTGATTGATGTTGGTATCAACTCTATTGACGATGAGACCAAAAAGTCTGGATATCGGTTGGTGGGTGACGTCAAATACAGCGAAGCTCTAGGAGTAGCCTCTTTGATCACCCCAGTTCCGGGTGGCGTTGGTCCTATGACCATCGCGATGTTGCTGCGGAACACTCTAAGCCTGGCCCGGCAGACTGCTGGCCTTGGCCGACTGCCCTTGCGCAGAGAAGTTCCTTTGGAAGAGTGTAAGGCAGTGCAGAGCTAGGCAGCGAGTTTCCCATGGATCCAAAAGTGGTTCATGCTATGCCAAGAATCAAACCCAAAGCCCATAGCAAATTCTGCCATCAAAAGGAACCGTCTTCTCCTGCCCTTTTCTTGTGTATATTATGAAGATCTGTTGAAGACGTTCTTTGCCAATCTGTGCCAAACTCTCTATAGACTCTAGAAACTTGAATGAACTTTGGACCAAGGACTTTCTGGTCTTGTGCATGAGCGATCAAGAAGGCACAATGTGAGAGTGATGGGTTCCCAAGAGCTGCCTCAAAGGTCCTTGAATCCTTGAAGCAACAGTTGATATGCTGGGAAAGGCCAACACAGAAATAATAGGGCTGGCTCTCCTGTTGTTTGCACATGAAATGGCTTGTCCCATAGACATCAATTCTTCATAACCAGACACTCATGTCGGTCCATTTTGTGAATCCACATTTTCATGCATGCCTGTTCGTTCTCTAAACGCACCTGATGGTTGACTCCATCTTGTGGCCTTGAATACAGCATTTTGTAGGCTCCTTCGTGGTGATTTTTGCGCCCACCCCGCAGCTGATGCAGCTGCAGGACTGGGGACTAGGGAAGACTGGAGACTAGGGAGGAAGTGGGAATCCACATGAATCCATGCCTCGTGTGAGGAGATTTGTGCCACCTCGGGTGAACATGATCTAGTGATATCCCGTGAATCGTGGCCAAATGTTTGCTTCTGCAAGTCGCGGAATTTGGGAGTGTACCGGTGCAGAGTTTGTTGTACGCCTAAGCCGCACGACGACGTTCGGAAGCAACCATTGCCAGATCAGCATTTTTGCCAATCTTTGCCGGGCTGCCGCATTTCTGAGTCGGGCCGCACTAAACGTTTGCATGGTGTACCTCAGTTGAGCCATGAGTAGTGCGAAAACCCACGAGCTTGGGCCTCAGGTTTTGACAAGTCGATCAACTCCATCTTTGGATGGTTGGCATGATTCGCAAATTGGCCCAACTGACCAATTTAAGTTGACTGTGTGAAAGTCCAGAGCATAACAGTTTGACTTTTTGCAGAGTTCACTAGCAGTCACTAGCAACTTGCTTCGCAGGAGGGTCATGCCGATTTAGTGCCCTGGGCAAATCCGCTCACAGGCAGGGCCTGTTGGTCTCAGATTCAAGCCCGTTCGCTGACGAGAGCCAAGCTGCACTCCGAAATTGCTCCCTTGCCTTGCGAAGACACTAGTGTTAGTGTTCATTATTATGAGACGCCTTGTCTCAAGTTCTCCATACTTGGATTCTTCAGCACATTGGCAGATGTCCGTTGATTCACGAGAGATTGCCAGGCGAATCCTCGGAGATCGCAGGGATCGAGGAAAGCCGGTTGGACTTTGGGAAAGGCGAGCTGTAGCCTGACCGTAGGAAAAGGGCATCCGAACCCTTGGGCCAACTCATTGATCCAGACTTAGATGAGACAAGGCAATCTTCAAAATATTGGACATTGGGGATACAATCTGCAAATGCCGTTGGGAAATGGCTGGGACTCTGCAGCAAAACATTTGGAAGAAACCTGCTGGAACTCAATTGAGCTTTGGTCACGGGACGTATCAAATGCCCCAGAGCTGCAAAGGCGTGGGGCACTTCCTGGTGCTGAAAGAAGAGCTGCGAAAGCAACTCTTGGACAAAGGGGAGGAGAGAGCCACGCTCATTCTTTGTGTTCTTGCATTTGCTTCATTTTGCTTGTACTTTCAATAGGCAGTTTATTGTACTTTCAATTGTGGTAGGAAGAGAAAACAGAATCTCAGTTGTACAGAGTCTCACAACACCCCGAAAAAGCAACGCGTGGCTCCCACTGCGAGCAACGTGCACGGCATGTGCAACACGACAAAAACCATGTGATAATTCATTATTGCAAAAAGGATACCTGACCCCAAATGCCGAAACAAACTGGCCATGTTGACAGAAGTATCAACTGGGCACGGAGGATCTCTTCAGTGTTTTGGAGACTCAGTAGTGCAGCTGATGTTTCGTGAGGACACACTGCGGCGAATTTGGGCCTTCAATCGAGTCCCTGGTTCACGAAAGGTCATTGAAGACTTCATTGTGCAGCAGAATATTTTGGAAACCTGAGGAATCCGGGTTTAAGGATGCAAGGTCTGCAAGGTGGTTTGTGGCAAGCAAAGGCCTTTGCCCACAAACATGTGGACGAAATGCAGAAGCTCACATCTGCATTTCACATTTGGACCCGGGGTGTTATTTAGACTTGCGGCCATTTCCTCACAAATGTGATGGGGAATGTCCGTCAGCAACGGAATTGTGCGCCTTTCCTGGCCTTGGCATAGAGTATGAATTGGTCAACAGCCCAATCATCTTCAAACAAGTCAAGACGTTGAAAAGGACATATATAACATTGGCTCACAGTTCACAGTATTGAAATCAGTCGGGATTGGAGCATGCATGTGTTCAAAGATAGAGTCAGATAAAGAATCACTAGATCCAAAGAGACTTTCACAAGAGAATCAGAAAAGTTATCTTTTAAATAGTAGCTTCTTGCTCCTAGTAGAAAGGCCAGGAGCTACTAGTAGCGTCCTTGCTCCTAGGATTCCCCAAAGGCAGCAGGTGGCCCTTGTTTCAGATCCCCGTGGAGAGCTGGTGCCCAAAGGGACCATCATGTAGAGCACACACACATCGGCCAAAAATGTGATGGCGCAAGTGGCATGGTTGGAAGCCTTGAAAGACACAAAGTGATCTAATTCAAATTGAGAGTTTTTTCAAAACAAAAACCAAGATTTGTTTCAGGCTGTTTAGGTTGGAGGCCATCGCTATTATTAGGGTGGAGGTTGACAGATTCATCAGACCTGGATGGCCATTTCGATGCATTCTGTGTGGCAGGAACAAGTCGTGAGCATGTTTGTCTTTGGATGAACGCTGAATTGGCTGCAGTTATAGTAGAAGTAGAACTCATGGATCGACACACGTTCAGTGTGGAATCACGAGCATCAATCGCAGGGTGCAAGAAGTACTGTGAAGTGCCTGGACAGGCAAAGCCCACCTCTGAACTGAGATCGAGCATCGATGCTACAACCGACCAACTGCACCACAACGACCAACTGATCCATTTGTTATTGTTTGTTGCCGTGTTCCGCGTGGCGTGTGCCATGCCGCCGTGCCATGCCCGTCCCTCACCGTGACTTGGGGCCGATCCTGCAAAAGCATGGCTTCGGTGAGATCAAGAAGATCGGAGAAGGCGAAGACGTCCCATGGGTGGTGTAGTCCCATTCTTCCTGTAAATGTTCACATTCTTCCCTGTCTGAGTTTTGATCATTGCGGATTTTGTTCTTCAGCTCGGAATGAGTTGCACAGGCTGAACAGGCTGTGGGGATGTCAAATCAGCCGACCTGAGAGGCTCCTTCGGAAAGGCATTGCTGGTGCAGCAGGAGGATGGCACAAAGTTGGTCTGCAAAGCAGTGGACGTTAGCGCTGCCTCTTCAAAGGAGACTCAGGACGGCGAAGATGATGGTGATAGATCACTACTCAACCTATTGTCAAAGCCCATGTCAGAGAAGTATGGTGCAGAAGGCCTTTTGTAGAGGAGTTTGACTGTTTAGTCGTATCAACTATAAATGCTGGTTGTGTTGATTATGGTGCAGTCTTTTTTCCTCAGGATGCCATCAAGGAAAGCAGGCTTCTGGCTGAACCGACCTCAGTCTGCAAACGACACCAGGACAGACGGCAGACCCAGTAGGAGCCCCTAGTAGCGTCCTTGCTCCTAGTAGCGATGCCAGGAGACCCTAGTAGCGTCCTTGTTACCAGTGGACTTAATTTGGTTCCAAATGTGATCCCAATTCGAGGATGTTTTGCTGTGCCAGTCAATCAATGGCTTTCAAGCAGGGGTTCAGGGCTCTCCAGCACAACCTATATATATATATTCAAAGAGCTAGATGGAGGGATTAATCTGGATTGCAGAGAGCCAAGGCATTGAAGCATCCTTACATTGTTCGGTACCGGCACAGCCTGCATGAGCATGGCTGGCTATGTATCTTTATGGACTATTGCCAGGGCGGAGATCTCTCCAAAGTCATCGAGTCTGCCAAGAGGAGCGGGACACCCGAAGCTAACCAGTAACAAGAAGCTACTAGGCGCTCCTGGCATCGCTACTAGGAGCAAGGACGCTACTAGGGGCTCCTGGCCGTACTACTAGGAGCAAGAAGCTACTAGTAACAAAGGGCATCGCTACTAGTAGCAAGAAGGCTACTAGTAGCTCTTGGCATTACTACTAGTGACAAGGACGCTGCTAGTAGCTAGGCCGAACCAAATCGAGTTTTTCAAACTGATTCAAATGGCATGCCTCCCCTCCAGACCTGTGCTGGGAGGATGATTTGTTGGCACTCTGGTGGTTTTGGCTTCCCAAGGTTTCAAAGATCTCCAACTTCTGCAGGTTAAACATGGTTAAACATGTAGACTTAGAAGATCTCAAAAGTAGTAGCAGTCAAACATGAAGTGGTCAGCCCCTGAACAGTTTCTGTGCTGACCCCTTTCATGGCTAAAGCTGTGAATTGCCCCGTGACATGTTTGATGAATATCTCTCAGCTTGACTCTATGACGGAGCGTCTCTGGTGTCACTATAGGTTATAGCGGCTGTAGGCACCATTGACAAAACACTCTGCTTCCACGACACCAGAACAATGAGATGCAACCAAATCATTAGTACGAGCGCGAGCTATTGTAGCTTTAGTAGCTAGTAGCTTACTCCCGGAAATTCAGTAGCTATAGTAGCAGCCCAAAAGAGACCTCCACCGATGTGGGACCTCCGAGCGATGTCAGGAGATCGCAGCGGCTGCCCGAAGAGCAAGTTTTGCGCTGGGTCACTCAAGCTTTGTTGGCGCTGAAGTATATTCATGTTCCTTGGTACAAAAAACTGTAAGTGCTTTCGAGCTTCAGTTTGGAGACATTATCAGTTGATCGGTGTTTTTGGGTGCACCAAGGAAAGACATGTGTTGCATCGAGATCTAAAGTCGGGGAATTTCTTTATTTGCCGCAGCGGCAATTTGAAGATGGGCGACTTTGGAATTGCCAAGGCCCGGAGAAATCATGCGAAACCACACGAAACAGCGGGACATCTTCGTTTTGATGAGTTCCGTGGTAGACATGAGCATAAAAGCACGCCCAAACCGACAGAACACGAACCTCTATCACTGCAGACTGGCAGATTTTCATTTGCTCTCTGGCCCGTTGTGTTGGGGCCAAGGGTGCATGGATGATTCGTTCAAACTCAGGTGCTGTCCAACACCCTTGCCTGTGCAAGGACCCAGACACTTGGTTCAATCCGGATGTCATATTGATTTACAATCAGCTACTACAATCAGCTACATGTACATGAAATTGAATGAACAGGAGCACCAGTTATTTTTTAATATTGAAGGTTGTGTCAGCAATTGTATTGTCGATCTGTCCATGTTCACCTTGATCTCAGCTAAGGATTGGCACACCTTACTACTTGAGTCCAGAGGTTTGTCAGGAGAAGCCCTACGCCTGGCCTTCCGACATTTGGGCCATGGGCTGCATTTTATATGAGCTTTGTGCGCTGAAGGCGGGGCCCTCGTGGAGGGCAGATTGCGCTGGATCTTTTATACGGCTTCCTTACTAAAGCTTGCTAAAGGCCCAATAGAAATGACTTTACGGATGCCTTCACTGAAAGCCTTGAAGGGTCGCGTTAGTGTTAAGCCTCAGGTCTAAGACTTCTGAAGTTCAGTTGACAGCCGACGGCGAACCTGTCAGAGCTGTCACAGTTGAGCTCTGAAGAACTTAGGAGACTCATTGTGTCAGGTGCCCTTTGACGCGCCAAATATCTCGACTTTGGTCCAAAGGCCTGGCTGATATCTGATGTTTGCAAACAGTCGAAATTGTGATCAGTGAGTGTAGTGATTGTCTAAATCTTTCTACTTGTTCCTTTCTGACGCACAGAGGTAGTAATCATATCACATGCAAAGTGACGACGATGTGAGGATTTGCCGTGGGCCTACGCCCACCCTGCCATCTTCATATTCCGACTTCCTGCGGCAACTCTGCACAGAAATGTTGCACAGGACGCTCGTTTCTAGACGCGAACGTCGCTTCGTGTTTCCATGCTCTGACAGTGTGGACGCGAATGTCGTCAGGAACCAGACACAGCGACCCAGTGTTGGGGACTCAATTCGGCTCCAGCTTACTTGTTTGACACAAACAAGGACGTGAATTCAAGGGGCCGAGTCTAAATCAACACGGAGGACAGGTGAAGGACTTTAGCCTGCATCACAATGATGTTCTTGTAGTTTGTACGCTGCAAATTTAATGGAGCCTAACATGAGACACCTTCCCTAGAAGTTTGGAAGTGTGCTATTGGCTATGGGCTGCCAATGGGATTTTGCCTCATCGGCTTGTCTGCCAGGCAGAGGCCATCCTGCAAAGACCTCCCATGCAGGCGATGGCTGGTACCTTATTCACCAGCGAAAAAGCAATGAAAGGAAGTAGAGTCAGATGTATATAGAATAGTTATATAATTATATAGTATATATTATATATAACTGTTACATAATCAGATTCTTGGTTGGTGTTTTTTTTTTTCAATTTTCTGCTTTTGCAGCTACAGACGAGTCAATGAACGACAGATCACCGGAGCCTAAGGTCAAATTCATGCTGGAGGAGGCACAAGTTTTGTCCGAAAGCATTCGGCATCGGTGCAAGTTTTGTGACCACACCACAGTGGTGAATTGTGGCAGGCGCAGGCTGCACAGGAAGGTGCGAAACTGCAGCACTGGGCCGTTCTTTGGTCTAAACCTGACCCGTCCACCAGAGTGCAGCCCTTTTTAAACCGGCTGAGCCCAGAGCCTTTGATTTTGACATTGAGTTCTCGCAAAGTCGACAGAGTTCTCGCACTGTTTTGAGTTTGCAGGCCGTATGAGCAGCGGTTCGCAGAAAATGCACTGCCCCAAGAATTGGAACTTCAGACCTTCTCCGTGGGCTTTCGCTCATGATTGTTTCTGTTTGCCAGGCAATCCCAAAACTGCACACTCTCGTTTTGATCTGCATGGGTTCTACTACAGGACCTAAGAAACCAATCAAATTCAACAGTCTCAAACCATTTGTCGCCACCTCTAACTTGAGCATCCGTCTTTTTGGATCGTCAATCGCCTTGGGTAAGGCATGAACTGCCACCGCCACCTCCGCCTGTGGCTCCATCTGTGTGGATGCTCAGGAATCAGCAGTTCGCTGCGTTGATGCTTCACACGGGTTTTGATATGCCCCTTGGGCTTGGTAGCCAACGTTTGTGATGTTCACATGATTGGCACCACAGACAACTCACAAAACCCTTGTTCAAGACCTAGGGCATCAAACATATTTATACTGTATATATATAATTGTAATAATATAGAAACTACAGGTGGCTGTTCGGTCGGTAAAAGCGTCCATTTTTGTTGGTTGAGGAAGCGGTCTCAAACGCCCTTCAAAACACTGCGACCGGCGTTTTGCAGTTGAGGTCACTGGTCCCTACGTGCAGCCGGCACTTTACCAAACACGACATTCTTTTGCCCTGTAACAGTGCTGTGAGGGTGATCGTGCGATTAGTTGTGCTTCACAGGCAGAGTTTGCTGGCTCTTATCGGCAGGGTTCTCAGGAAGTGAACGCCACTCCAGTTAAGCACACCTTGTCAGCACAGACGTCAAACACCTAGGAAGGGTGATCTCATCGAGTATCACTCAAGCACCCACAAAGCAGGAGGCTCAGCATTTTCCGAATCTGCGAAGAAGATTTTGAAAGATGCTAATTAGATCCCAGATCAGAAGATCGGAATCTTGAGAGAAGAAGGCATGTAAAGAAAGAGGAACATGTACCGGAAAGAGGAACTGTGGTTCAGTGCAAAATAGTGCAAAGTTCAGCCCTAAATCCAACCAAGTAGGAGGTCGGGAGGATCGAGCAGGCAGCAAGTATCTATCGGGGAGCAGATTCCATGCACGCTGTGTGACAACTGACATTCTTGCTATTTGCCAGCGGCTGGAACACGACGCAGGGGTAATTTGCAAGCCGTTGTCTTGAGAAAGGCTTTCAGACGATTCTGGAAGATCCCTGCCCCAGTGCCGTAGACTACCCTTTACTTCAGTTTGCGCGCTATGTGACAAGAATGCCTTTAAAAGGACTCGTTGCCGAATGGCCGGCCTGGGCATACCCGCTTCAATCGCCCTAGGAATGGCTCCCAGCTCAGATCATCGATGCTGACCAAGACGGTGGGGTACTCAAAGACACGGAGTGAATAGAAGTGCGATGAGAATGGTCACTGAAGCGGTAATAGATGTTCAATCCTTTTGATCTCAATGTCCGATTTCGAAAGTCGAGAGAAAGGATTTCTTTTTTCAAGAGACAATTCGAGATCTCAAGGCTGTGTCAAAGCCTGACATGCCCACACGAAGCTTCACTGATATCTCATTTTGAATGATTCCATATGAATCCGAAAATTGGACTGAATGATTTCTCTGAACGCAGTGCAGTTGCTTGGAGAACCCCTCCTTCGAGATACACGTCCGTGGAGACCACGTCCTTGGAGTCCAAGATGGATCGTCCGAACTGTTCGTACCCCTCCCAGGACGCATCGTGATTGACTTGAAGCCAGGAGCTTGTTCGGAGTTTCAGTTATTTTTGGTATAGAACAATATAATGGCCGGGCCCCTCTTTGAGATGCACGATTCAAAGCAGGCCGAGATTTGTGTTTAATGTTTTAGATGACCGGGGTAGTAGCCTTCAAGATGTTCGACTTCCCAAAGGCCTGGAACGTGGATTGCCCGCGCTACACAAGCGTTGCAAGTGAGGCCCAGAAGGCTCGAAGTCAGATATGATCGAGCTGTGTCAGAGTGTTTCACAGGTTTGCTTCGGCGCTCGGAGACATCCTTTTGGTAAAATCTAGAAGCTCACCCAATCTCAATCTCATCTATCTGTGCAGAATTACAGTCCCTAATAGCGCTCTTAGGTTGGAGGCCATCGCTGGTAAGTTACAGTCCCTCCAACGAAGATTTTCACAACGGGAGTCGGGCCTTGCTGTGGTGTGCGGGGTGAGGAGCTCGCCTCCCCCGCCTCCGCCCGCACGGGCCTCGAAGAGAGATGGAGACAGAAACGGAGAATGAGATGTCTCTCAAGTGTAGAGAGATGACAAGAAAAGAGCAAAGTTCGTTGGTAAACTCTGAAGTCAGGGAGTTGGTAAACTCTGAACATGATTGGACTCTGGAAGTCAGTTTGATTGTGTCCATTTTCGTTCCGAAAGTCCAGGTGGCACCGCCCATGCGACAGAAAAGCCCCATGCGCCAAATGAGCCCACGCCGCCAGCGAAGTCCGTTAGGTGGCTCAGGCGCAGAGTGGCTTTCACACCAAAGGCAAAGGCTGCTTCACCCTGTGGAAGTATGCCAACAGCACCCAACGGCAGACACGACTTGAATGCGGGGGGTTGTGGCTTCTTCCTTTGAAAGTCACGGGACTCGAAACTCTTCTCCAAAAACATAAAAGGAAACACTAAAGATGGGCACACAAACAACGGATGTGGACACTGATGGGTGCTGTCAAATAATATACGACTCTGACACTTGGGAGCTGGCCTGAACCAAAGGAATTAAGATCGTAAAACATCAAAAACAGGATTTGTCAGAGAGATAGGGAGAGAGAGAGAGAGAGAGAGAAAAAAAACAAAGCAGGATTTCGAGTGTTAAAACAAGCATCCACGCGGGATGTTTTTTGACTTGTTCAAGTCAGAGTTCCAAAAATTTGCCCAATTCATGTCAACATGGTCCAGTTAGACTCTAGACCCAGATCAAGGCCACAGATGGTAGCAGCATGTAGCAGTTCCTTATCGGACCAAAGGGACAAAGAATGATACGGTCAAGGGTCAAAGAATGGGGCTCCTAGTAGCGTCCTTGCTCCTAGTAGCAAGGCCAGGAGCCCCGTTCGTAGCGTCAATTTCTGAGGTCTGTGGGTCGTGCACGGGACTTTGGCCTTCCAATGTGCCTCGGAGTCGATGCCATCGGCGTGGCCGACGGGTGTTTCAACGTGGGCTGCTTGAGGCGGGAGGCGTCGCCGTGGCACAGGGCTGGTGGGCACCTGAGCGCAGTGAGTCAGAGCCTGTTTCAATTCGAGAGAGAGAGAGAGAGATGATGGAACCTATTTGCGACGGCCTCCAAACCTATTTGCGTCCTTGCTACTAGTAGCTTCTTGCTTCTTGCTCCAGTCTTCTTTGTGATTCGAGGGAATCTCATCTTCAGGTAGCCGCGAGGTCTCCCCGCGAAGGCAACGAGAGCCGTCGCCCAGCATCGGCATGGACTCCCAGCCACGGAAACCTGCTAGGCGTAAAGGGCGAAAGAGGCGCAGTGGGGGCCGCTTTTTTGTGCACCGGGATGGAAGCCGCAACGTTCCCTCCAGAGGCCGGATGTCACACCAGTATTTGTGTAAAGCAATCCACCTATCCTACTTTCAGAGGTGTGTTTTCCCGACGGAGCATGGGCCATGTCATCCCACTCTAAGGCAGTCCTTACTTGGAGCAAGCACCTCCGTTTGGCAGGCAGACAAGCGGAGGGTCACAGGTTTGTGCAGGCACCATCAACGGGGTCAGATCGATGGTTCAGCTAATTTCACTTGGAACTGCTCTCCAGGTGTGGCAAAGACATACAACATTTTGATACAACTCGATGCAACTGGGAAATTTCGCGTCCAACTTGCACCATGCTGTTTCGAGGCCAAGCCGTGCTGTGAACGCTGCAGGAGAGGCTTACGCGAGGTTAGTGTGGGATCTACTCTGAACTCAAGACACACTGAAAGTTATATGACCTGAATCAAGAGGGAAACCTCTGACTGTTGGAGGTTGGGGTCGGATGTGTGTCTCAAGGTGCTCGGTCTTGGTGTGTCATCAGGGTGAAGTTCAGAAAGATCCTGTCCATGTTTCACCAGTGCATCCAAGGAAACAAGGAAATGCACCAACTAAAAATCTGTTTTCACAGCTTCAGACTTCGTTTTTGGAGCGAATGGCCCACAGAACCAAAGACCCCCAATGGGCAATGTCACCACCTCAGGCTGCGGGTGTGGCGCGTGCAGGAGCTGCGATTGCGGGCCTCTGATCTCTAGTGACTCTGGTGTCTAGGGGCTTTTTGGCTTGCGATCGTTGCCTCACACAGAAACCGACACACGATGTCCGGTCAAGAAACTTCCAAGCTTTCGTTTAGGTGGATGCACGTGGAAAGAACGTTCTTTTGATGGAATATCAAGAAGACACGTGTACGCAGAAGGGCGAGCAGGTGATCCATTTGATTCTACACATCAGCGGATGATGCGACATCCAGAACCAAACAAAGTTTAGTGGACGCCTGACACTGCTATGGTGGCCAGTGCATGTTACCGAGGGAGAACAGCTTTGTTTTCGCTGACTTCACTCACTCCTTCACTCCACTAGGGGGAGTACGAATCCAGAAAGAGCGAGAGACAGAAAGAAACAAACCAGATCGCAAGAAGCAATTATTGGAGATACACGTTTCACATCATTCGGTTTAAGCCGAAACACGGGCATTTTAGCCTCGAGCTTGCACTTGCATGGTGGAAGCCGAATGAAATCAGAGCGAGAATCGACTACTTGTGAATGGTTGGTTGGTTGGTTGGTGAAGCGTTTTGGGATCGAATTATTTTGCTTTCCTCCCTGCGGCTCCAACCGCAAGTGCCCAAAGCAGCTTTCCCCGGGGCAGCCAAGCTCCCCCGGAAAACCCCAACTCTGTTCGGTGCAATCCGAGAGAGTTTGTGACCCGGAGCTCTAGCGAAGCATGTGAGCATGTCGTATGTGAAACATGTTTTCAGGATCTCCGGGTCGTTGTGTCTTAAGATTTACAATCGTCCCATTTGAAAAGATGACTTTGCTTGGAAGGTCAGGAAGGCTAGTCACTGAATCCACGACTGAGTTGCGGCCACGTGAGTAGTCTCGTCCGGACACATTGTTTGTAGTCAGAGTAGAAGGCTTATACCACACACGACAGCATGACAGTTGTTCTGATCATTCAGTTCGCTTCTGTTTGCGGGCGCTGTTATGTCCGCTTTTGAACAGATGAAAACAGGATCAAAAAGGAAGGTAAGGCCGCCTTGATGAGGATGTTTTTCTTTATTGTAAAGGGGCTTGATCAAAGGGGCACCCTTACCCTTAGTTCCTTCTTCTTTTCATGTGCTTATTTGGCGACTCGCTATTAGGTTGGAGGCCATTGCTATTAGGAGTTTTCTTTGTGAGATTCTTATTGGGCGACTGGTGTGCAGTTTTGGCTGACTTTCGAGCTCCCTCGTTGACGCGATGAAGTGCTACCTCGGGTGGTCCGTTGTTTTCGTCGCCGTTTTCGGCGGTGAAGCGGCCTTCAAATGGTGCGAAACCAACGGAAAGACGGGCTGTGTGGGCCAGGCCAGGTGTGCAAAATGGGGAGCGTGGAAGGGCCCCATCATGGAATATCATGGATTTTTCACAAGTGTTTCTCTTTTTCATATCTTTTCAAAACAGTATGAAATTCGTACCTAATTGTAAAGAGTGATTGATCTGTTGATCGACCCCCCAAACAACTCGTTTTCTCTTCACTTTGATGAATGATCAATTGTCGCTGATTCATTGTCTTCTCACGTTTGGATTCGACTTTGTCTCAGGCCAAGAAGTTCACCAGGATGTTCTCTGACACTGGCAATCCCTTCTCATCCGTTGAAGTTGCCCCGCAACTGGTCGCAGATCGGTCGACATCGAGCTTCGTCATGCTTATATTTTGCTGCTTCATAGTGACCGGGAAGGTTCGAATTTGGAGAGGACCGAGAACCTTTCGTTGAGCGAGGACTAGGTTCATACAGAGTTGCACGGAGTTGCATGAGTGCAGAACAGATAGCCAGACAGCATATAAGATGCTACGTCCAGACCGCGTGACACTCGTTCGTTGGGCACCCTTCGAGAGCAATCGGATCACCGCAAAGTCAGGTATGACACTGCGATCGTGGTGGATTGGGACAAGGACGCTCAGCTGGTTGTAGGTTGTTAGAAGTCTAGAGTGTAGGCTAGCAAATCCAAGTTTGCTTGTTTCAAGAGCGGTTCCCCCAAAACGGCATCAATGTTTAATTCATGGTGATTCTCTTCGCCTGTTTGCGCAACAAATTGCTCTGCGGTGCATGCGAGTCCACTCCTTTACTTGGACTGGGGGTCCGATGTTCAACACCTCAGCGAGTCCTCTCCACATAAATCCGATCCCCCAACAAGCAAGGGGGTACGGCGGTGTACAGCATTGATATAGCTGGTTCGTATTGATAGCTTAATGTTCTGGATTGGAAGAACATGGAAGAACCATACACTGCCATGAACCACTCCACCACTTTTGCCTTATCAGCTGAGGATGGTGATTTGGACGTCATCGTCAACAATGTACGAAACAAGGCCGGACAAAGGGGTGAAGGAGCAAACTTCCCACATGATAGAGCTTGATGTTGTGTACTTCCATGTTGTTTGTTTTGCATTTGCGGTTTCCTGTCGAATATGAGGCTTCGACTTGTCTTCGGTTTTCGAGACGACATTGGGAACACGGTGGTAAGGGTACACTTTGAACATGCTGCATCGCTTCATATCAAACTACCGTGTTCCGTTCCGCTGCGTTTGCCAGGGAAAAGGTGAAGGTATTCGGTACTATGAACGGCAAGCTAGTGGCGAATACCTCGAGCTCACTGACACCAATCCTTTCAAGGGCATCTACTGCACAGACTTTTCGACCCCAGAAGTGGTGGATTGGGATGGCGATGGACACCTTGACTTGATCGCCAGTGCGGGCAGCATTGGCGACGCTTTGGCCGGAGGATCGATCAGGCCCAAGAATCTTTAGACTGAAGTTCCACAACAAAGGAACGTGTTTTGTTGTTTTTTTCAATGTTTTTCCCATATATGGAGATGTGCTGAAGTGTGCAAAGCACAACCTTGTGAACACGTTGCGTGCGTTTGCGTTCCGTGTCAGACGCACAATGGGTTTCTCACATCCTCAAAGCCGCCGCATGCGACTCGTATAAAACACTGGGAGTACCGAGTCTCCCAAGGCAGAGTGGAAAGAGTGCAACCGGCAAAAGTAGGCACATGCACAGACTTGCCTGCGGAAAAACCGAGCAAGGCTGTGATGCGCGATGTCCAGGTCGGAGGCCATCGCTTCTAGGTTGGAGGCCATCGCTGCTAGGCTGGAGGCCATCGCTAGTAGCTTGGAGGCCATCGCTAGTAGGTTAGAGGTGCATCGCTAGTAGTGGCACATGCGCGATGTCCAGAAACGTTTTCAGAGAACAGCTTCCGCTCAGCAGAGTCGCCAAGCGTAGATAGTGCGACCAACATCAAGGTGATGAGCGCAGTTTCGTGGTCCAAACTAGTAATTGCTGCATCGGTAAATTCGCAAGCATGCGTGCTGCTCACACCCCAAGCCCAAGTCGAATTCGCAAGTTCGCAAGCGTCGCACTTGACAAAGTGCGCGCGACGTCCGCCACTAAACTGATTGGATGCAGCGCAAATCATGACGCACATAATTATGCTGCTCCCACGCCCCACGCAAAGGGGAAGGGGCTCGGATGTGACGCGGATTTCTGGCTCGGATGTGACGTGCGGACCCTAACTCCTAAACTTACTCCCTAAACTAGTAGTAGTCTTGGTGTCGCAAATGAGCCCCTTGCCCACGCAAAGCATGTTTGGATACATTTTGTGAATTGTCACACACACACACACACACGCATATATATATATATTACGAAAGCCAGCCGATAGGCTAGGCTTGAGCTTTTAGGGCGAACGAAGTGAGTTAAGTTGCGCAGAGCTTGGTGGGGGAGAGCGCTCCAAAGCGAGGGTCCAAAAAGCAGTGAAAATGGGGTCTGGTGACGCGAGTGATGTAATTAATGGACGCCGAGTAGTGCATCATTAGCATCATGAAGGGCTTTGGAAACTATTTGGATTTGGACAATGGGCATAGATGATTCGAGTGGAGACAGGGACCCACATAATGAAGTGTTAACTTAAATCCGAGCCCCTGTTAAAAAAACAAACCCAAAAAGAGACAAGACAACATTTAAATTAAGTCCGAGCCCCTTTCGTCTCCCCCTTCTCAGGTATATGTATACAGTAGTATGACACTCGGTAGGCGTAGAGTCCTTAAAGTCCACGCCCAAGTTGAATCGGCACCACGCAGTCAAGGTCTACTGAGGTTTTGGATGGAGCAAAACATGGCTATAGATGTTGTCGTCAACAAAGGCAAGCATCT